ATGGAAGTAAGAAACCTTAGAAATAACAACAGAATGAAATCACCTGGACAACCGTATTTTTGTATTTATTGCTTCTTAAATCTACTAGTAAAGAATTCTGTTATTTCACTTGTAATTTCAACCATTGATAAAACCCATTCTTTACTGCTTCTTAGCTAATCTCATTTTACACACCAATATTCTCCTGGGCACATTTTCCTTCATTCACCTTAATCTTTAAATCCTTCTAAAGCAGAGAGGAGGCCAGGAAAACAAATAGGAAATAAGCAAATGAAAAAAATATCATGCTGTAGTTAAAAGTTAAAAAACTAAAGGTGGGTCTTATGAGACAAGAGTTTTATTTTTGGCTCCTTCAACCTTTCAGTGTCACCTTAGCCAACCTGCAACTTCCCTGTACCTCAATTTTCTTAGCTGTGAAGTGGAAAACGTTATTTTAACCACAGAGCCCCACAGTGCACTGGAAATATGAATGCATTAGTATCTGTCAAGTATTTCAAAGATATTGAGTTGAAGGTATTATTTCAGAAAGTGACAAAATTATTTCACGATTTTCCTATAAACCTGCCTTCGCTAATTCTGTCTCTTGTTTTTATTATTTTTTGTCTATTGTAGATAAAGGATCTCTGATACTAACACCTTTTAAATGACTGTCTGCTGCATATCAATCCTAATCCTGCAATAAATTGTTATATCTCACAAAATAATGTTACAAGGCAGAATCTCAACAATCACGGTAGCTTTACTTCAAACTTACTACTCAGTCATTACAAAGACCTTACATTTAAATTATCTTGTGTTTCAGAAAAAAAATAATAAAAATAGTAAGAGCCCTCAGACCACAGGACCAAAGAATCCAGAAAGACTTTCAAAATTAAGTCTGGGTTCAGCATCTCTGGGAAAGAACTTCTCCTGACAGCCTTTGTGAATAATTTTTCCAAGTCTCTGAGACTGTAAAGGATTCTCTCCTTCCATCACAGCCCACTGGGGTGCCCCCCACGTGGGCCATGACTAGGTTTATCCTACCAGAAAGCTTATTCTGATTCATTACCAGTTTTTCTCCCAGAGGCAGACACAGCCTGGAGCTTTCTCCAGAGCTCTAAAGAGGCACCCGCCCACTACCTCCCAGAACGACAGACCTCTCCTATCTCGGGGTGCACAGCAGGTTCAGCCCTGTGGAGAGAGCACACGTCAGCATTGGGGTGATGCCTGACCCAACTCTTCTTCTGCAAGGAGCAGTGTGGGCAGCAGCACTCCCCACACCTCCCTGCCCACCACTCCTGGGAGATGCTTTCAGCCCCTGTTCCTGGCTTGGGGCAGGGTCCAGGGCACTGGACACCATGGCGAGAGGCTTTATGGACCACAGTGGCTAAAGCAACATAAGTCGCTGGCTGGAGCAATAAATAGCAACAGCTTCTGAGCTGGCAGTCTGGGATATGCTTGCATCTAGTACCTAAAGCTTCTCTGCTGCCTGGAGAATTATGAATCCTAAAGACCTGACATTTTAACGAACTTAGCTATGTTCCCTTTTAACCTCCAAAGCTCTTCCCTGAAAATATTTTCCTTTTTCCCCACCATGATTTCAGGGGTGAATGAAGAGCTCGATGCCTTCAACAGGACTCCACCTACTGATTTTGGTTCCGAAGTCCTTAGGCTTTGCCTGCATGGTGTCAATTCTATTTTAAAGGTTCACAAGTTTGCAGGCTCAGAATTCAACATCCACAGTCAAAGATGACTCAGACTACTCAATCCTTTCTGTATTTTTTTTTCCTTTTTTTTAGGAAAACAAACCATCTCACAACCTTCTGTATTACCTTTTTGGCAGTTACGATTTATCCAACCAGGAGTCAAACTTTCAAAGTTGGACAACCAACTGGAGAGTTGGATGAACAAACATATTCCAGTGGGGAACCTAAATTGGTTAGACTCATTGCTTATATTAGGATTTTCCCCTCTTAAGTTGCAAACAGTCTGCTAGGGAACTGTGAATGAAGGTACATGCTGGCCTTGAGACAAATCCACCCACATTAAGTGAATTTAAATCAGTGCTTCCTCCAGGAAACAGTGTTGTATTACAAGCATATTTGATTCTGGTTTAGAGAATCGATTAAACCCATTTAGTAGTTCAAAGGAGAACAGATTTAAACTGATGTGCTCATTGTTTTAACAAACACTGATTGGTATCCAATGCAAAGATTAACATGCTTGATGACTCCCATGTAAAAGTTTAGTGAAAACAGCGGCCATAGTAAAGACGGAAACTTCAGATCTCATCATTTTCTCAAAATAGCTTCAGATTTCAGATTTTAAATTGAGGCTAAAAATAGCCTTATCCCAACATTTCTGAAAAAAAATAAGGTTCATGAAAGCAATACCACAAGTAAGGTCTCAATAGCATGTTGGCCTCTCTCTTCAGGGCCATAAAAATACCCATCAATCTCATCGTGAAGAACATACCTAAAATCCTTTCAAAAAAATCACAGCATCAAAGAGGTCTTTATGGACATCTGTCTACTATAGCATCCAGTAAACATGCAGATTCATACAGTAGCATGCACACAGCAACAAAAGGGTTAAGATAAACAATATCCTCAAAGCCATTCCGATGATTGCTCTTGATTATTCTGTTTGTGAGAAGTATTCTAGCTGGAAAGCAGGACTGGTATCAGCTCAGAAGTTGTTGATCTGACAAAAACCAAAGGAACCTGCAAACTGCAAGGAGGAATTTGCTAGATAAAATATGGAGCAGAAGGCTTGTGTTAAGAACCAATTGGATCTCCTGTATTTCCCATAAAAAATTATTTTACCTTTAATTTCAAAAGGGCTTTGGGGAAAAAGACTGAAGGAAATATTGTTCACTTTAGCAAAGCACGTATTGCAAAAAATAAATTTAAAAATCTATTTTTGGTCCAGAATTGTTGAAGAAATCCCTGATTAGCCTCTTAATGGGGTGAGTCCAATTTTGTGAGAATGATCACCAGAGGGAGTCATTGACTTTCCCATTAAAGTCAAAGGGAATTTTACATACATCAGGAGTGCAGAATTTGGGGGCAGAGCTGAGAAAGACTCCAAACAGACTGGAGTTCAGGGAGTAACAAAAACCACCGTTTTATGGATTTCATCTGAATCCATCTTTTCCTTTGGAGTCCCAAAGGATGACTGCTATATTCTATGGTGAAAGTTAGAGCAAAGGCACTGAAGTCATTCATTCAGTGGGTATATGCTCCTGCAAAAAATAATCTCAGCACTTAATTGGCTTTAAAGTGGTTTGGAGTGGTGTAAGTACTAACTGCTCAGTTTTCTCTATTTGGATATGCTGCATATCACAGTCCTTTTGGAAATGCAATTTTTAACAGCCCAAAGAAAATCTCTAGGTGCCATATGAGAGTGTGTCATACCTCTTGGGAATATCAGGACCTCAAACAGGAAAGAAGTGAAAAGGGAATTGCTAGCATGTTGGTGTTTTTTTGTTTTTTTTTTTTATTTCTGCAGTTTTAGCGACTAAAAGAAGATGTGAGAATAGGGATTCGTGAACCAAGTGATAAAATGAACTAAGTAGACGAACCAGTCTACTCAGCCATGAGCAAGTGGGCATTTCATGCTGACACCTATATTTCATGACCTTCAAATAAATGTTTTTGCATTAGGAATTGGGCTTTTCCTTGTTCAACTTCAGCTCAACCTTGTTACTGCCACAAAAGCCCAGCACACTTCAGTTTGAAAACAAGCCCATTTACTAGGCAACATTCCCCTTAATTCTGTACAATAAAATTATACAGCAGAAAATGAGGAGACTAAAAAAAGGCAAGGAAACAGCCCCACCCAATCAAATGCAATTTCACTTCCCTAGAAATGTCTTCTGAAGAAATGGAATTCAATTTGTTGCTGTGTTCCCAGGTAATGGCAGCACCTTGTTTTGCTTGTTTATTTAATTACTTCTTCTTGTTCATGCACTTAGCTGAGAGACTGCAGCCTTTTCTTCATCATGTTAACCGTAACACAGTTATTTGCACAGCTGGTTCCATTTTGAGGCTGGATTTTGGATAGAGGCTCTATTTTGGGCTGTGGCAAGCAGAGAACTGCTGGGAAGCCTCACGCCAGGCAGCCTGCAGCAACCTGCTCCTTCATGGAGAGGGTCGCTCCAGGATCTCAGCAGTGGCTGCCCATCTGCTTCCGATGGCAAATCAAAGGCTTGTTTCCAACATGCACTCCAAAGCACTGTGTGGCTTAAGACCTGGCTGTCTTTCATCATTTGTACCACCAAAAACCAGCTCAGTTCATCCTAAAGCATTTTGCCAACAGGCTGTCCAAGCTTAACTCTACTGCCTTTTAGAATGGTACAAGACATCACTCTGGTCAACGTATGCTTGATTTAAAATTATCAGTACTCTTACTGTGGTTGGGTGAAAAAAATTAGAGATGGAGGCTACTTTAGGTTTTCCTTCATTAACAATTTGATTTAACATCGAGGCTAGCGCTGTTGTCATGTTCAAATGATTTGTTGCACGGTTAAATCTCCTTTTTTTTTTTTTTTTTTTTTTTACACACTCAAGATATATGCCCCGATCACAAAGTTTATCAGAATGCTGACCCTCTCCATTAATAAACGCAGCAATCACACCCCTCCCAGGTCCTTTGAGTTTCTGTCAGTGAACTGATGTCAGCTTATTTTTATCAAGGTTGCTCAGAAACTGAGGAATCTGCACCTTCTTACAGGAGCAAGAGGCAGAATCAGTGCCAGTGGGAGCCTGCATCCTCTAGTGTGCAGGAGGCACCTTCATCTCAGCCTCCAGGCACTTAAACACCCTCAAAACTCTACCTCTTGGGAGAAACTGCATACCACCTTACACTACTTGAAATATAGAGAACTGGAACAGGTAGTTTGGAAAAATTGTCAATCTTTGCAGTTTACAGTTCAGCCTTCATATATGACCTGCTATGGTTTAGTTCTGTAACCAACTGTAGCAAGGCACAGCCTTTTAATAGCATCGTTTTAACCCTACCTGTGCCATCTGCCTCTCCAGCTTTGACCGGGGAATATCATCAAAATAGTTTTCATTTCTTCTTCTCCTTGCATCGCCCTGCATGATAATGTGGGGAACGTCCAGGGAGCCACCAGTAGTGAAAGTGCTTTGGCTAAGTGATGGAGACAACTGAGGAGGAGTGTGGTTACCACTGGGTTCCTGGACAGAGAGGAGAAAAATACAGCATAATAAGAACAGCATATAGCTGACTTCAAACCACACATTTAAAAGTGCATTTGAATTATTCATATTAAAAAAAAAATAGGGAACAATTCCTGAAATAGAGGTTACTGCAGATGAACTTTTGAGATTTGCCACCTAAGGTGCAGAGCCCATGTGGAAGGAAAAATAATTCACTATTTACATGAACTAGTGGCAAATTCCCTCTCCAAAACCTCCTTGTGTAATATATACTCGCTTCTAGGACTGCTGGAGAGATAAAATAGTGAGCTACTTCTTGTTAAGGCCTAAATAAAGCCATGATTTAGGACTAGTTATTTGTAAGATGAAATACATTCTCACCACTTCTGAGCAGCCACTCTGAGCAGTGAAAGTGATTTGAAAGTGATCTGAACTCTAGCAACATCTCTGGCTGGAAAAAAGAAATGCACGAACGTTTACAAAATTTAGACATTTTGTTTGCAATTTTTATAGGTCTCACAGAACATACATTTAACTTGAAGCACTGGATATCAGAAACAAGCTAAATAACAATTCCTAGAATGCATGAAAGAGTACAAATATTTTACCAGCCTTTTGTTTTAATCTGTGCTGAACTGTGACCTTGTATCAGTCAGTGTGCAAGTACCACAGCAAATTGATACATGAACTCTGTCTAGTAAACAGCTAAACATATCCTCCTGATCATGCATTTTACCTGGATTTGCCACCCCACTGCTCACAGCCACCGTATGTATATTTGGAAATACCTATTCTCATGCACACCATATCACTTGGTCAAACATCAATGGCAAACACTGGTGCCCATCTCCACCATTCAACACTGTCTTGGAGATTACAACCAGCAGGAGCAGAGCTAGAGCATACTGGCCCGCCAGTCTGCACACATGCCACCCCAGTGCAGACCGTAAAACACTGTTACAGCAACTGGATGGGGAAACGTGCACCTCTCTCATGATGTAGGTTACTGGGCTCAATTCATCTCACACTAGAGATTTCTCTGATAGTAAATTCAAAGTTCTTTGGAGGCAGAATGTACCCAGGAGTGTTTGCACAGCACAGACCTCGTCTAAATTACCTACTGATGCAATACTATATTTCAATACTGAACAACAAGAAGGGACCTGAAGACATTAGAGGAAGCGAAGACTTGCTCCAGTGTGCATGAGGGTAAAAAACCTGCCTTTTTTTTTTAAAGAAAGAATTAAAGTGGATATTTCATGTATGATTATGTTGAAGCAAACCTAGTTCTGAAAAACATCAAGGTACTTTACTCCACGCTGTTAAGAAACAAGACCTAGTGTAAGAAATCAAAGCACTGTAATCTCTTCCAAATGGAAAGGAAATTGCAATTCTCTGTATGAGTTCAAGTGATAGTAACTTCTGATGTTAATATTTGAAATGTAGGTGTCTACATGACATTATTCCTTGCATTCACAATAATGGGTTAGTATTTTCCACATTGGTTGACTAAAATTGGGGATATATACTTGTTTAACAATTTTTAATTAACTGAGATTTTTTTTTTTTTAATTATTCTTGAGCTTTCCTGTGATCTGAGACAAGCACTTGACATTTCCCAGGGCAATGAAAGGAGTGTTTTCCTCTTAGGAATAGACTTTTTCCCTCCTTCACAAAAATCCACCTACATTTGGCCCAATTAAAAGCTTCTGAAAAGCTGTAGCCTGCACACACTCAGAAGTTTTGGTGAGGCATACTCTCTAAAACCTACCCTCCACGAGCCCAACTCTGTCCAGGTAGTGCACACACCTCTGCCTTGAAAATAACCTGAGTACAGGGCACCAAAGAAGACCCTTTCTAGTGACTGTTACCTCCTGCTCCAGCCAGGTAGGTAACCTCTCTCTACTGCAAATCACGATTCACCCACTGTCAGTAGACTGATCAGGCCATCCGTGCATCAAAGTGACAGATGACTGTGCAATGGACATACAGGTTCCAGCTCTCATTGAGCTGTTCATATTTCATCAAACTGCATATAAAGAGGAAATTCACTTGGAGATCTGTATCAGAAGATTGCTGGCAAGGCAATACAGACAAGAATTACAAAGTCAAGAAATAGAAGAATTATGGTGCCTCTGCATTATGGAACAGTATGTAATTGTATGATTTTATGCTATTTTCTCAAAGTTGTCCTTCACAGCACAGATGGATCCTCAACTGTGCAGCATGTTGTCATATACTCAGCACTGTGTTATCATTAGTTATCATGTAGTCAGTATTTTAGTCTCACCTCATTTCGTAGCCCTAAACCTCTTCCCTAAACTCTATTCAAATCCTGCTCTGAAGACAGGATGACTAATGTCATCATTTCCACGATGCTTGTGAGTGTTTTACAAATGTCAATAAATTTATTTTCACCACAACTTGTGACTTGTGGCATTTTAAAATCACCACTTTAGTGTGGAGTACCTGGGACACACAAAGGTTAAAAAATATCGGTCACTTTGGATGCCCAACTACAAATCTATTGCCTGATTTTCCAAGTGTCGGTATTCAAAACTCTTCTTCTATTGATCTAATTTGCAGCACTGTGTGCTCAGCACTTGTATAAATCAGACTCCAGACTCCAGTCAAATATGCAGAATGTCGGTAACATACAATTAGTGACTGTTTATGAGGCAATTGCCTAAATAATTTACCAAGCATTATCTTGTGGCAAAAGCAGGTGTAAATCTGTATTTTCATAGCTACAGCTATTCCTTTAATCATTAATCTCTCTCCCATTCTTCCTTCATTCCTCCTCTTCACTCCATACTCACATCCTCATCTCCTTAACAAATCTGCAGACCAGGCACGGATGCCCATGCAGGTGCTGTCACGTCCTCAGGACTGTTAGTCACTAGGTATTCATATCATGTTTCCACCCTGTTGTGAATGCATGGATACATGCCCTGCAGGGATGCCTGATCATATATTCCACTATCAAAATCTGCTTCATTCCCATGTCTCAGTCCTGGTGGTCACATAAAGCTGGAACAACACCAGTCAGGGCTGGAAGGGAGCTTAAGAGATCCTTCCCCAGGCTGTCTAGGTGCACCTCATGCCCCATAGATGTTTGTCTAACCAGTTCCTAAAAACAGGAATTCTTTCTGGTGAATTAATACTTGTGTTAAACTAAACGTTGCTTCTCCGAATTTCCAGACTAAATTGTTGTTCCTTCAATTTAAACTCCAGCCTCCAGTGCTGACCAGGTGAAGATGGGGTTCCATGAATAAGAAGGAAACTGACCCTGTAATTAAAGATTATAATGCACTGAATGAAGGAAAGCGAGATTGTAGAGGTAACCTGAGATCCAGTATTTTCTAACTTTCAAGTATATGACTTTTAAATCAAAATAACTTTTCCTTAGTACACAGTAATTGTGAGAATAACATATTTTGTGAATATTTTAAATATTTGTTGCTTTTCCTCAATATTTAACCATTATTTCCTTTAAAATATTTTTAAAAGCTAATATAAAAAGAGTCAAAAAAGATGAAGTGCTAGCCATGGTTAGGTTGACCTTGGGACCTGAAAAGTAGACTCTTCAAATAACAAACTATCTTTTCCACTCATCTAGAGCAACCTGATCTAGTGGAAGATGTCCCTCCCTGCTCATGGCAGGGGGCTTGAACTAGACGATCTTTAAGGTCCCTTCCAACCCAAACCATTCTATGATTCCATATAAATCGACCTTCTAGTAGCAGCAGACAGTTTATTTAAACCAATTTTCAAGATAAAAATTATTGCAAACTGCAGACTGAATACTATGTCCTCGTTTCCTGTGAAAAGGCATAGTAGCAGCTGATGGGAAAGAAAACCTTAATCCTAACTCATGTCCTCCTCTTTAGGATTCTCTGTGAAGACTCCAATACCACGAGCTGATGAATGATTTAGTACTTGCCCGCATCAGTAGCTCTAGCTGTGGAGCAGTAGACTACTTTTTATCATTTTGACTGCAGATGGAGGACATCCAGTTTTCTCTTCGCTATTAACTGAGAATACACAGTCCTAACAAATAACATGGGCTGTGGAAACTTTCCCACCTGCTGAAGAGGAACTAATTCCCCAATGCAGAGCACTAAAAGTATTGAGCAAAAAATGTGCGACTTTCAAATGATTCCTCTTTCCTGGGAGTGTTTTAACACCTGCCATGCATCAGGAATCATTCACATAATACATAAAAAATAAAATACAAGAAAAATATCCACACATTTGTGCAAGGTGCCTTAGACCTTTTTCAACATGGCATTAGCAATAGGTTGTATTGGAGGGTGGGGGGGTGGGGTGGTTTAAAATATCTACACATGGCATCCAAGAATAAGCAGGGTGAAAACAGGCTGGTCACAGAAATTATAAGTGTATGTAAAGATAAGCCCTCATTCTGTCTTTCTGTATTACTCTTTACACCAGGAAATTTAACCTTGGAGCATGGACACTCTCTGACATTTGGAAATTTAGTCCCAAATGAGATTCCAGTCAGAAATGCAGCTCCATGAAAATAATCAGATCCAATCAAATGCAAAAGGTGTGACCTAAAATATCAGAATAAAAAGTGCTGAGATGAACTCCCTTGGAAAGAACACAGTAGGAATGGGTCATCAAACCACAACCTCGTAAGGGTAACAGACAGCAAGGAAGTAAATGCATTGGATAGAGAAACCAAGTGAAGGTGGTGTAAGGAGATTAAATCTGGTCAAGTATGGAAAAACCCCAGAGACATTGCAACAAGATTTCTGAAAGAAGAAATATAAATGAATATTAAAAACACTACAAAACTTTTGATACACAGAAACATCTTAATGGCATTTGTATCTCAACAATTTTAATAGGCTCTCTTTAAAGAAAGCACAAAACATATGTCTGAAAAGTAAGTGCAAGCATTTGAAAACGTGAAAGGAAAATGGTAACGCTCCCTCTGTAATATCAGTCAGCTGGGCTGGGATTCCTGTGGGCAAATGTAGATGTGCAGCTTGTACACACCTGGCCCTAAGCTAGTTCCCTGAGCAAAGAAGATAAACTGGTACTTCCAAGATAGTGCTTATCTCATCCTAAGGTAGACATTTGAAACGGGTCAGATGAATCACCCTGTAAAAATGTCAGTTTATCTCTGCTGGCTATACAAGAAGCTGTGACTGAGCAGGTCAGCCTAAGACATCTACACTGTAAACTTCTGAAGTGAGGTAAACTGAACCCCACTTGAAGCGAACACTATTTTCATGTGAATGTTATAAAATGCTTGCTGACTTTTTGAGAAATGCAAAAAAATTTTCATGGGGACTCACCCTGAGGGTTATTGACCGAGGTGGTTTCTGAGGAGGATCTTCGTGAAGCCTGTCTCCCAAAGATGCCAGAACGCGCTTCCGGTGGCCAATCAAGCTAATTTTTAAGACCTGAAATAATAACAAAAATACCTAATTAAAAAGAACACATTGCAATCACTAAACGAAGATCCATTCAGAGTGAAGTCATTTTCTCTTTAAACCTTTTAACAAGCTACTCCACTACACAGGCTAAGCAGACAGAGAGCAGTGCAAGAAAAACAATCATCAGAGAAAATGAGAATCGAGATCAAACAGAGGAAAAACCCTGTAAAATGAAGGAAGAAACCAAAGCAAGTATAGATGTGGAAAACTGAAAAAAAAAAAAAAAGAGTAAGGAGGAAAGGAAAATGAATCAGGAAGAGAAGGTAACAGAGTGGGAGCAAAAACAAGGGAAGGGGAGGAGGAGACTGGAGAAGGAAATGTAGAGGTGCAGGCAAACAGTGAGTGATGAAGATTAAAGGGATTCATAGAATGGATGAGGAAGACAGTGAGGAACAGCCAGTGAATACTTAGAGAAGGCAAGAAGGGAGAAAAGGAACCACACAATGAATGAACGCTATAACTTTAAAATATATTCACCATGTCTTTCACAGGTAATCTCCAAATGACACATACAGTTTGTATTATCGTGTAGAATTATCCTTGCATAAGCAACACAGGATGGACAAATTTTGTCCTGGAGGTCTATTAGTTTTACCAGATGCAATGAAAAAGTCTCTGTTGCACACAAATGTGATCATCAGTTGATAGGTTCAAATACCTTGTGCTTGTCCAGACTTCAAGAATGCTGCCAAAAAGGTGTTACAAATTTACTGCAACTACTCCCCACTTGTATCTCCTTTGTGTCACTGCCACAAACAAAACCACCACTGCTCTCAGAAAAACCGAGAGGGCAGAAACAGCAAGTTGGAAACTTAAGAACTAGTGGAAAAATATCATATTTCAGTGCTAGCTGTAATGGCTACAATGGCTTCAAAGTGTAAAGCAGACCTAATTGTAGAAGCTTCTGCTCTGCAAACAGCAGTGTCCTCACATAACTCGTCCAGACTGTAAATACTGTTTCGTACACCAGAGCTGCCTCCATTCCCTCTCAGAAGACAGTGCTTCCCACTATATTTAGGACCACCGTGTGTCAACACCCTTCAGTTGAGAGAAATTTCTCACTCAACCTAGAAAAAGTAATAGTCCCCAAAAAACCCTGAAAATGCAACCTCTGAAGTGAACAACCACCTCAGTTTAAGCAGAGCCACTAACTACCATTCATGAGAACAAACAAAACCCAAACCCAGCAACTCCCCTATGACATCTCTTAGATCCAGTATCTCAGGTTATGGTACAGTAACACAGCATAATTATTCTGATAGGTGGACTCCTGCCTGTCCATGGGCACGTGAATTTGTCCACACTTCCTCTGCTGGATGTCTCTGTGCTATCTGATATTGCTGAACATCAACATCTCGTTGGCCTGCATCTACAAAGCAATGGGCTATGACATGACACAGATTGAGGCCTCCCTCCAACAGGCAGCTTGCAGGGCTGTTTCAAACCCTGTAGCTCAACAGCAGACCCAGCTGCAGTCTCACAAGCCTCATATGTGCTCTCTTACTCATCTACATCTGGAGAAGCAGGGTAGAACTAAGATAACGCAGCACACGCTGAAATGCCAGAGGCATGCAGGAGACTTAGTTATGCATTCAGTTTGAACTGGATGTTAAACAGAAGGGTGCACAGTTTATCTCCATATTTTACGATATGAAACACGTGAATGAACTACAGCTGCTTTAAGCATTACTCAGGTAACGCACTTCAGTGAACTTGCTTCTTTCATAATGCTTCCCCGTCATCAAGAGCATTTATCCAGAGATTTTTAAGTCAAGCTACAGTTCTTGGGTTGTTTCGAGGTCCTCAGCACTCTGACTGCCTTATTGGCTATATCAAACCACACAAAGCAATTCTCTTTGACTTCACAGAGCTGTTGAACAACAGGAGAGAAGAGGACAAGAGTCTTGAGGGACTTCACACGTAAGAGATGGGTCTAAATTGTTATACTATTTCAAAAGTAGTATAGCTCTTTAAACATCATTAATGCTGCAAAGCTTATTCCACTTCCCGCTCCCCTCCCTCCATTAAAATGGTGATCACCCCAAATCTGAAGTGGCAGGGATTTAAAGATGCAACCTACAGAAACATATGGTCCTCAGCCAATAGGCAGATGTAGCCCAGTCTCATCCAGACCACATACTCTGTTAACTGAAGACATCTGTATTTTTCTGGAAATGCACTCTCCAGTAATTTTCTTGGAAAACCTGTTACTCAACTTACAAATATAAATTACTGTTTTCTGAAATGCTTCTATATTTGAGTTATGAGAGTTTAACAAACATCCAGAAACTCTGAAAACTTGTTCTGTGATGGATTATCTTTGACAGTATTTATCAAAAATGTCACATATCACAAATATAGGTCAACGGTGTGCAATGGTAAAGTTGCCTAAAACAGTATCTTAGAAATATCTTAATGTTGTGTATCAGGTAACTGTTAAAAGTCTTGCACTTATTTAGCCCACAAGTTAGTTCCTCATTAATATTTTCTCTATACCAGATTACCAGTGAACACAGTAACACTGAACTATAGGGACAGTCAATACAATGCACCTAAGTGCTATGCAATGAAGCACTCTGTCAAATGGATTGTATCCTACTTCATATATGACAATGAAATGAGCTTTGTAGCACGGCTGCAGGAATCAGCTACAACATGCCATGAAATTGTTCAGAGTAGCATAGGGCCCTCCACAGCCTGTTATTTTGTTACTAGGGTTAAAAAAAAAAAAAAAAAAAAGAAGGTATATGACGCCTTTTTCCACATCGACAGTAGGATACTCCAGACAAAAATAATACAAGTCCATCTCATATACTTGCTTACATTTGATGCTGTAATACAATTAAAGGAGAACAGAGTAAGCCATCTGTCCAAAGAAAAGACAGATGCACCCAAATTTCACCCTATTTTTACCTCCATATTCTTCAATGATTAGCATACAAAATGAAATTGCATTAAGAAATGCAAGAAATCTGCAAATGTAACAATGCAACACTTTGCATTTAGATTTCTGACTTAGTTGACAGATTTTTTTTTAAAAAAAACACATGCAATGCAATAACTCCCTGCTGACTGGATGTGTGCAGATGCTGAAATTAACAAGTTATTCCATTTAAAACTGAGTATTATTTCTGCAACATTCTTCTGCCCAATCTTTTGCTTCTCATTGAATAATATGATCCAATACTGGATCATAATTTTTACAATTATTCTACTTTTTAAAAAGCGGGTATTATAAAGTTTACTGAGATAAATATTCAAGACATCAATTCCCTTTCTTTTGGAATAATCTGAAAAGTTACTGTGTAGGCTAAAATTAGTACCATAATAGCACAAGCAGTCTGGACTAAACATGTAGCAGCAATGAGACACTAGGAACTAACTACAAAGTGGAAAACTAGAGAGTGATCAGAATAGTATTAGTGATTCTCTGGTGGCAGCATCAGACAATTCAGAATTTAAGAAGGTCTTGTATCTGGGCAGGAACAACCCCAGGCTCCAGTATAAGTTGGGGAATGACCTACTAGAGAGTAGGGGAAAGGGGGAAAGGGATCTGGGAGTCCTGGTGGACAGCAGGATGGCCATGAGCCAGCACTGTGCCCTTGTGGCCAGGAAGGCCAATGGCATCCTGGGGTGCATTAGAGGGGTGTGGTTAGAAGGTGGAGAGAGGTTCTCCTCCCCCTCTACTCTGCCCTGGTGAGGCCACATCTGGAATGTTGTGTCCTGTTCTGGGCCGCGCAGTTCCAGAAGGACAGGGAACTGCTGGAGAGAGTCCAGCACAGAGCCACCAAGATGATGGAGTGGAACATCTCCTTTATGAGGGAAGGCTGAGGGAGTTGGGCCTCTTTAGTTTGGAGAAGAGGAGACTGAGGGGTGACCTCACTAATGTTAATAAATATGTTAAGGGCGAATGTCAGGAGGATGGAGCCAGGCTCTTCTCAGTGATGTCCAATGGTAGGACAAGGGGCAATGGGTGCAAGCTGGAATACAGGAGGTTCCACTTAAACTTGAGAAGAAACTTCCTTACGGGGAGGGTGACAGAGCACTGGAACAGGCTGCCCAGGGAGGTTGTGGAGTCTCCTTCTCTGGAGACATTCAAGACCTGCCTGGACACCTTCCTGTGTGATCTCATTTAGGTTCCTGCTCCGGCAGGGGGATTGGACTAGATGATCTTTCGAGGTCCCTTCCAGTCCCTAACATTCTGTGAACAGGAAATACAAGCCAACAAGGCGTGATCTTCCTATTTCTGCAAGTAAACAACCCCAAATACTAGCTAAATTCAATTTTATTAACCATTTTACTACTGGTCATATTAGAATAAACTCCAGGCTATTCTGGAATTGCAGGTGAAGGATACATTGATTATTTCCACTTTCCTGCCACAATACCTCCCCACAGGGCTAACCCTAAAACACAGCATTGCCCAGAATAATCAGGAAGTGAACCCAGACCAACCAGTACAGCTCACCTGATCATCATGACTGGTTTAACTTTAAATTTGAGAATGGATTAAATACACTTGCTATATAAATTCCCAGCACAGACAACTTTTAAAAATTTTATAAACCCTATCCATAGAACTACTGTCAGTGATCAGCACCTGCTAAAAAACAAAAAAAGTAGAAAAAAACCCCATATTGCACATACTGACCAAGATTACATTGTGTATTAATTGGCATATTTTGAAAGATAAATATGCCTGAATCAGCTGTGATATTGAATGCTCAGTGGCTTACCTATACCAGACACAGCCAAATCCAGTCCAAACTGTATTAAACCATTGTTGCATTTTTTCATATACACACACTTATGCTCTTTCTCATCCTGACTGCAACTGCTGATTCCTTCCACTCCTAAATTATCACAAACACTTGCCATTTTTAACACTGTAGGGACTTTCCTGTATAGCTCTGCACACCCAGCAAAGCACATGCACATGAAAACACAGATGCTCCAAAGCACTAGGAGATC